TATATAATAATTTATTATATTTGCTGAAAATATCGCTTGAAAAATACATTTTCTATAATCGAAGCAAATCGAAGCAATCGAAGCAATTCGCAGTAAATCACATAATTTTGCGATTTGCTTCGATCACAGCAAATCACAGAATTTACACGTCCCTGCTGCGACACTTAATTATTAAAACTTGGGACTTAGTTGGAACATTTTAGGACATTGGGACGTTGGGACGTTGGGACATAGCAAAAAAGCTTGGGGCAGTAAAAAATGTACAACTGCTCCAGAGTAAAATAATGATAATCCTTTTTTTCGCATTTCTGTTATTTTTTCATGAGATTTAAACATGAACGGTATGACCAATAATATCTACCCATCAAAAATCCATCCACATGATTATTGGCCAATAACAGATCACAATTTAGTGTAACGTAACACGATCAGAAAATTCAAAACAAACATCGCTTTTGTCCTTATTTCTCAAAAGATTGTATACTGTTATTTTTTTCATGAAGAACTGGCGATTTATACATGAATGGTATGTTAAGAAGAATATGAAATATTTGTGACCCCTGCGCTCTGTTGCTTAGATCAATACTTGGAGGATACCCCCTTTGTCGTGGTTTTACTACCTCTCTGTGGCCTACTCCTCAATATTTGGAGGATACCCACTTTGTATAGTTGGTGGTAGAATTAATTTGACAAATTATTACGGCAACGGCATGTGCCGTATTATTTGCCGTAATTCTGTAGTGCCGTAATGCCGCAATGCCGTAATGCCATAATGCCGCAATGCCGCAATGCCGTAATGCCGTAATGCCGTATTGCCGTAATGCCGTAATGTTGTAATGTCATAGTGTCGAAATACTGTAACGCAGTAAACATATCGGCGAACTTTCGAAATTTGGTTTGTAAAATGCATCCTCAATTTCAGTGACTAAAAATATACGATTTCTATTTAGTGTAAGTTTTATTACATTTTTATTACGTTTATATATAATATAAGGGATAAATTTTGGATCATTATGGTTAAATTATTTTTATATACTCATTTAATCCCAATTCCACGAATCTGCCAATATGAACTTTTAAAGTACTTTCAACCATGAAATAAATTTACTAATTAGATTAAATACCTTTCAGCCATGGATCTCTATCATTTTCCCGACAAGAATTAACCGGAACTAACACCAACCCTTATCTAATGCAGGCTAACTTGTCAGAATTTTGATATTGTCAGGAAAGTGGTTGTTCGGAAAATGATAAGATCCCTTTTGACCATTATGTATTCGATGTTTGTAAAGTTATACATTACCCTCAGAAAATATATCACAGTTACACAAAAAAACAACATAAATTTTTTAAACATGTAAATTTATTGCTTAGCAATTAATAATCAATACAATTCAGCAATATATCATTACAATATATATGTTGAAGATAATGCATCAGTATTCGCAACCATAACCTCCATTAGAAATAACTTCAGCAGTATGATTTGGAATACTGTTGATTAAATTCATGAAATCGATGCATCTAGCCTTTCCTATTCCTCAAAAAGCGTTGTCTTCAATTTTTCATATGTTCTTGGGGGTAGTCTACGTTGCTGTATTATACGTATCTTTTAGCATATTTCATATGTGATTTTTTGTGTAACCGTGATATACTTTCTGAGAGTACTGTACATACGCATGTTCGTAGAGCACTCGCACCATATCATATTGGGGTGTCACATCGAATCAAATCTATGCCAGTTACTTTGATAATTTTCTATGATCAAATTGTTACCAGTAAAATTAAAGTAATTAATCGAATAAATTTTACTTTATTTAATTATAAAGAAAAGCACAAATTTCTAAAGAATTCACACAAATATTGCACTTATTTTTCTGATTTCTGCTGACTGAAAATTATTTATTTGAACCATTTCGAAGTAACTATGTTTCATTTTTCGCTAATGTCCTAATTAATTTTCGAGTTATACATTTAATATAATTTTTTTGGTCTTAATTAATGAACTTTCAAATATTCTATATAGGTATGCTCAAAGCCTGAAACGTAGCTTTATTCTTTGACTTTATATAAGCAAATGGTGAAAATTTCAAGTTAATTTCACGTCTTGGCGATAAGTTGAATCATTTTAAAGATCGGGTTTAAAGCAATAGTCCTATCATATAATGATAAATTGAAAATTCAAAACCATTTGATTTCATTTGTGTAACGCAAAAATCTGCAATATGATAACTTTTATAGTTAACTGACATAGTTTTAATTAAATAGTAGATGTGGCACTCCAATATCATATTATAGTGCAATAGTACTGTGTTATATTTCACATTATTATAATATTTATTATGATTACGCATTACGGCATTACTACGGCAATACGGCAATACGGCATTACGGCATTACGGCATTGCGGCATTACGGCACTACAGAATTACGGCAATCAGGTACTGTGCCGTAATTAATTCTACCAACTGGTAAAATGCCGTAATGCCGTAATGCCGTAATTCAGTAATTCTACCACCAACTATACCCCTTTGTCGTGGTTTTACTACCTCTCTGTGGCCTACTCCTCAATATTTGGAGGATACCCCCTTTGTCGTGGTTTTACTACCTCTCTGTGGCCTACTCCTTGGGTATTAATTTAGTTATTGGACATGTGTTTTATATGCTCGTGTGTGCTTAGTTATTTAGTGACTCTGCTCTGATGCTTTGGTAAAGGAAGTGCGAGATACCCCCTTTGTCGTGATTTTGTCACCTCTCTGCGGCCTACTCTTGACTTTTCTTTATCAAGAAGCGCATGTCGAACCAGCACTTACTTTGTGTTCTGCTTCATACTGCTTATTGATTTTTTTTTTCATTAGAAACGATCTTTGAATATTATATTTCGAAGTATTTAAACTCAACTAACTATGAATAATGAAGCCTTCTTGGGTTGCTACAGTATTTGGATGCACTTTTTTCTCAGGTAGGGTATGGCATATGAATTTGAATGTATTTATTTAATAGATGAAAATTTAGCTAGCAATTAATGTTAGGCGCGCATCCAATTATTTTTATTTGCCTTTTATTGAATGCAACTCCACAGAAACAATACACCTCAGATATTGAATTAGGAGTGGTAGCGGACAAATCGGTTACTTCGTCTTACTTGTAATAAACGTGAATCTACTAAGCATAAGTGTTAAATATTTTTATTAAGAATATGAGCATAAGTCAAACAGGATTCACATCAACTGCTGCTTCGAAAACGCAACGGAATCAAGATAATGATGATAATGACGTTGAAGTTGTGGGAGAAATGATAAATCCTGGGTAAGGATCAAATTAGTATTGTTACAATATAATATATAACAGGGCTTATTTTTATTTTTATTTTTTTTAAGTTTGATTGAGTGGGAGTTTGAGCACCCAATTCCCGATTGGTTGAATAAGGTAATTTGTAAGAGAATTTTACAGATTTTCCAAATATAGAGATACGTTATAAAGACACGTTATAGAGAAACGTTATAAAGACACGTTATAGAGAAACGTTATAGAGGTACGTTATATGTTACAGAGATACGTTATAGAGATACTTATAGGATATGTTATAAAATATAACTGATCGAATATATGATTAATAGACAATCTAGAATCTCAGAAATTTTCCTCGACTATCACCACAAAAAACATGAAGTCACACTTTTTTGCAAACCGCAATAATAAAATCTTGCGGTATAGCTCTTAAAAAATTTGCAATTTTTTATGATTTATTATATAAAAACTGATTTCCAAAGATCTTTCTTTCGTTGGTTTCCCTTTTTTTGCAGCGCTCATAAAAAATAACAAATCTTATAATGATTTTGTGATTCTGTAATTAAATTTTTGATGAGTTTGGGTTGTTAGAATTATTTTATTGGCTAATTATTTTGGTAATTAAATTATCTCAAACAAATAAAATTTTGGCAATTTTAAGTGGTTGTCCAATATGTCACGTGAGTTGATATTACTGTCTAAATGGTTGCCGCTCAATTCCCCGAAAGCTATTTACCCGCCAACTCATTTCCCAGACACCGTAATGCCGACATGCTATTTCATTTACAGCACATTTTTTCGATAAGACTATATTTGAAATTACATATTTCTGATAATCATTTCCTTGGCTCGATTTAGCTTTAGGGCTGGTTGATTTAGAGTTAGCGTCGGTTAGAATTATATGTCGGGGAAATGTCTTGTCTAAGAAAAGGATTGTTGAAAACATGTAATGTCAAATATATGCTTATCGAAAAAAATGCGCTGTAAATGAAATAGCGTGTCGGCATTACAGTGTCGAAAAATGAATTGGCGGGTAAATAACTTTCTGGGTAACCTGTCTAAATGCATATCCTGTCTATTGTCTATATGCATAAAAAAAGTCTCTGATGACAGATAGTATGCAATTAGACAGTATTGACTTAATAATAGTGAGTTTCAATGCTGGTTTTAGTCGGTGCTCAAGTAGAGATGATTTTGGTGATTATGCTAAGAGGGTTAATGATCTTGGCGGTTATCCTATTGTAGTACGAACATAAATTAGACTTTCGCGCTCGCTACCATAATCGTAATCGCAATCTTAACATAAAATTTTTTTTGCATTATAGTAACACTAATAGGTCGCACTAAGTATAAATTTCGATTCTCATTCGAAAATACGAATTAAATATTTATATAACACAATCTTATGACCATTTGCAACCTTTTTTAAACCTACATGAGGTTTTCTTTTAAGAAAATAACTTATTATCTGGACTCATTCTCAGTATTATTATTTCTTTGAGGGTGGTTCTTTTTCGATTCTCAGAATACTTTATGTTTTAATGACAAATATGAAAACTCGTTCATTCACGCCCTATAAGTTCATAATACTTTTTTTATATGCCTTTTTCATATTAGTTGTGAACATTGGGGTTTATAGCCAGAATTGTGGGGTGAATCCATCATCACCAAATACGATTGTTGGATATTATCCGGCTTATAAATATAATTTGAAAGTAGATGATTTAATTAAACTTATAAGTTCGTCAATTACTCATTTAAACTATATTGGTATGCGGAATTTAAAAACTTTCAATCATTATAATGGATTAAATTTAACAGATATTGTTGGTTTAAATTACTATAGCATTCGACCCAAATGAGCTTACTAGTGGCAATGGGCCAAATGCAGTGTTTACTGATCAACAACATTTCGATAAATTTCAACAATTTAGACAGTATATTGTTGGAAATACTAACCGGAAATTTCAAGTAAGTTAGAGATGCTGAGTATATGTTAAAGTATTTATTATAATGATTAATTTGATATTTATAGTTAATCCTTTCAGTCTTGTTGCTACTACTCAAGACTTAGCAAAAATCTCCCCGTTTTCTAATATTGGAACTATTGGACAATATAATCAAAATAATACTTTTGTTAGTGATTTAGTTAAAATTGTTACCGATAATAACAATTTGTTCGATGGTGTAAGTTCAAAATTTCTTTTCTTTACATTATTTAATGATGGTTATGTTAATTATTTTTTAATTATAGATTGATATTGATTATCCTAATAAGTTTCCGTGCTATCCACCACCATCACCGCAAGGAACACCGCAAGGTCAACAGTTCGATGCTAGAGAACTAAATTCTGTTTTCATATCGTTCCTAAATGATTTATCAAGCCAATTAAGGAAATCTAATAGCAATAAGATTTTAACGGTCACAGCAGGCCAGTATCCTATATCTGGTCTTAACTCCAGCAATTCTGATATTATTAAGTTTGTGAATATTCAGGTAAGATTTAACTTTATTTTTAACAAACGATGTTATAAACTCTTATTATCCTAAGTATAGTGGAGAACTTCCAGATTGCGCAATGTCCGTTCACTCATATATAATAGCTTGTTAGCTCCGGATACATAATATTGTGCAGTAATCTAAGTTTAATTTTCTTATAAAACTTCAGGCATTTTATCTTAATATAGATAGCAAATCCACGAGTGCCGGAATAGACAATATTCAGAAAATTTTTGATGGTTGGAGTAGTTCTGTCAGTAAATCAAAACTCGTTTTAGGAATCAATTTTGGTGGTATTATCGAAGTGGTTGCTTCTAATAACATTATAACGGATATAAATAATCAAAATCTTGTGATTGTAAATGACACAAATACTCAATTCCCATTTGCTGATGACAAGATTCAAAGTCTGTGCGGACCTTCAGTATATGCGACTTTGTCGTGGAAAAATTTTTCTAGTTTATTATTACTTTGTGATTCAGATACCAATAAAGATTCAAAATGGAATTATGGCTTTGATAATAAATCTCAACAGCCATACCTTTACCAACAACAACAACCTCCACGATACTATTATGTTTCTTATGAAAATCTTCAATCACTAAAATCCAAACTTGATTACGTGCAGCAAGTTAATGCAGGAATTGCAATTTTCGATATAAATAAAGATACAGACGATGGAAAATTAATGAAATTCATAATAGGTGGTACTAATCCACCTAACTCATCTTCGAAACCAACTCAGCCTACATCCACATCCACATCCACATCATCTACATCTCAGTCATCCCCGTCCAATGTAGGTGCAATAGTGGGTGGTGTAATAGGCTCCTTAGTTTTTGTTAGCGTAATAGTAGCAGCTGGCTTCATATTATATCGAAGACACGGACCAGGACAAGGTGTAGCAACTGTCGTGGCAATGTTTGATTATGTGGGAAAAGAAGAAAATGATTTGAGCTTTAAAGCAGGGGATGTAATTGAAGTACTTGAGAGAGGAGATGGGCCTAATGATTGGTGGGTGGGTAAATTACGTGGCGTTGTAGGTGAATTTCCTGGTAAGTGGTTTATCTGTTTAATTTTCCTTTACATTTATTAAGGTTTCATTCATCGATTTCTTACAAGCAATAGACTTAGTTTTGAGATCAAATGAATTTACATAAAATCAAGTGATAATGCCTCTTTATTTTTCATTTCTATTAACGAAATTAATCTGCGATTTTTAGGTAATTATGTGAAGGAAATAAGATCGTAATTTTTACCGATGACAAAAATTTTTTGAAATATATATATATATCCATGTATATAAATGCTATGCGGTGTTTGACATAGTGTTCATTGTAATGTCAACAATTTATAGGAGGAGTTTTAAGTTAGGCAATGCAAGTTAATTACTAGTAGAATAAATCTTAAAAAACATGCCAGACCCCGCCGGCCAGTTTACCCAGTTACTAAAATATAAAAAATTTTTTCAAATTTCAAACTTTGACTCTGCCATTTCATTAATTTTGTATGGCCTTAAAATCCATTTGACGCTTGTGAACTAATATGTATACTATAATAGCAATCTTATCGTAATCTATATATATATATATATTTATTTTTTTTTTATTCTTCAAAGGTGAGGCCATATCGTAATCTATAAATTTTCTTCACAATTGGTTATTTTTTAACACCCCACCTTAACCATATTAATCCTATAATGTAAAAATTTCTATCGTGACTAAGGTTTCGAAAGTATTTTTGGACAAGATTTAATCTTCGAAATCTCAAAAATCTGTTTTTCGGATTTTATATAAACTTTTGCTTTGAATACTTTCGCGTACATTTAAAAATTTTGGGGATCACGGTTCCGATTCGAAAACTTTGAGGATGAGTTAATAAAACAGTTCGATCAGTACGTATTTGTTATACGTAGCAAGCTGTTAGTCATATCTCTACTTGAAATACGCTGGTAAAATTAACGTTAAGGGGGTGTAAATCAAGGGGAACTTTGCATTATACTATGCAAACCCAAAAAAAGAAATTAGTCAATCGGAGAACGTAAATTGTTTGTTCCGACACGTGCGCAAAAAAAAAAAAAAAAAAAAAAAAAAAAAAAAAAATGAAAATGAATGCTTAAACCTGCCTTAAGGCTAATTAAAAATAGCGAGAATGAAATTGAAATTTATTATATGTATACATATATACAATGAGTAATAATTTATTCCTACGTATGGCATCTAACGCTAAGTCTACGTAATCCAAATTTCTAATTTCACAAACTTATTTTTATGTTAAGTTGCCTTTTGAGTTTGTACGTATCACTCGCACAAACAAGTATTTCCCTAACTTAGTACGATAATGGCAAAAAATGTTTATATACTTAGGTAATTCATTTTAAACCTACGTTATATTTTTTTCTTAAAAAAAAATAGATCTATTGCGCATTTATACCAATTCTTGATACCGAATCTTTTTATCTTATATATCTTCATGTTATATTTTTTATGCTAAATTTATACTCGGAAAACTTTTGACGTTATCATAAATATGAAAATTCGATCATTTTTACCATTCTATAAGTTTATATGGCTTTTTCTATACACCTTTTTTATGTTCATATTGAAAAAGGAGGCAATGGGCCAGGATTCATGCAACTTATCACCGACTAAACCAAAAATACTTGTCGGATATTATCCCGCTTATAAGCTTGATTCAGCAACACCGATGCTAGATTTTAATATCAGCTCATCAGTCGATTACTACCTAAACTTTATTGGTATACGAAGTTAAAGCTTTAATATATTTAATTATAATTATGATTAAGTTTAATCAAGTTATTTAATATCTATATAGCATATGGCCCAAATGACCTTGTTAATAATGGCGCAAATCCTAATGATCCATCTGTATTTTTTACCAAACAATTTGACAAGTTTATATTATAGGTCGTCAAAAGATCTAAAATTTAAGGTAAATAATAAAATTTAAATTTACATTCAAAAGATTTTATATATAAAGTAACCAATTATTATTTAATAGATTATTCTATCAGTCCTGTTGCCAACTGATGGGAATAATTTAACTAAATTCTTTAATAAACAGCCTAATGATCCAAATGAGGGTTGGTATAATTCGAGAAGCACACAAAATGCGAAATTCATTGTTGACTTAGTGAATATTGTTACTACTAATAGTTTTGATGGAGTAAGATTAACTGATTTTATTTATGTTATCTATGATTATTTGGGTGTCGCAAGTAATTCTTGAATTTCGGGTATGGCTTATCAACTCCGAATAAGCACTCAGAATCCTGTGCCAGGTTTTGTCGACAAAATTAAACTGCTTCTTGCACCCTATCAAAAAACCAAAAAGTCCTCTCATAATTTTGGCATAAATTCTAAAAATGATTAACCCTGACCTGGCCTAACTATAACTATAACTCTAAAATCAGCTTATGTAGGCCGATATCGATCAATCTCGGCCAAAATGATCGACAAATCTTGAACAGAATTCTTGAGTGCTTCGTTAAATTGATATTCGAATCAATATCATTAGATTAAAATTCTTGAGTTCTTTATTAAATTAATATTCGAATTGATATCATTAGATTAGAATTTCAGGTTCCGTAAACCCGTCTTCTTGAAGTGAAATATTCGAAATCAAGGATTCCTGTTTTCCCTTTGCAGCACTCATTTATTGTGACGGATTAAAATGAAATGAGAGATAGTGTAGAATAGACAAGCCACCGAAAAATACAAATTTTGGGGGCTCACTTTTTTAGCATTTTTTTTAGGGTTAGGATTAGCGTTTAGGGGTAGGTTTTATAATTAACAAGTATAAGTGGGTTTTAGGTGGACAAATAGAAATCATTCATTTCATTTTAATCCGATTTCATTATAATCTGCGACATTTATTAAACAATTAATTAATTACTTTCTATATATTAACTTATAGATTGACATTGGTTTTCCCTTTAAATTTCCGTGCAATCCTTCAACAGGATTCAATGACAATGATTTTTCAAATTTCATAAGTGCCATATCAGCACGATTAGGTAATAAGAATTTAACAATTACGGCTGGCCAAAATTCAATGAAACACTGATTTTTCAAATTTCTAAATGCCATATCAGCACAATTTGGTAATAGGACTTTAACAATTACGGCAGGCCAATATCCTATAAGGAACATTAACCCAAGTATCATTAGTTTTATAAATATTCAGGTATGACTTGGCTTTTTTTCTTTATACCTGTATAATAAGTGATATAAATATTTATTTTCCATTATAAAATTTTAGGCATTTCGTCTTAATATAAATAGCACGCATGCAAGTGCTGGAATAGATCAAATCACGCAAATTTTGAGTTCATGGAATGCTGTAAATCCTTCAAAACTCGTTTTAGGCGTTGAATTTGGAGGAATTGTCGAAATTGTCACTTCTAATAATATTAGATCAGATATTGAGAATCAGACTCTTCACCTAGCAAATGCCTCAAATTTAAGCTTCCCTTTTCCTAATGAAACGATTCCAGATCAATGTAACATTTCATCATATGCATATTGGTCATGGAAAGATTTAAGTAGTCAATTATCATCATTTTGTCCTACAAATTTAATTTCATCGTCACAATGGACCTATGGTTTTATTAGCAATGCGAAACAACCATATCTATATCAACGACAAGACTCTTCAAAATACTATGTCACTTTCTATGAAGATTATCAGTCGTTAAGTGCCAAACTTGACTATATAAAAAATAATAGTTTAGCAGGAATTGCTATTGCAGATATCACCAAAGATTCACAATTGACAAATTTTATTTTGGGAAATCAGCCGGAAAAAAGTGGAACTCCAGGTTCCCCTCCTTCATCTACACCCACATCATCTATATCTCAGTCATCTCCGTCTAATGTAGGTGCAATAGTAGGTGGTGTAATAGCCTCCTTTATTTTTGTTAGCGTATTAGTGGCAGCTGGTTTTATATTATATCGAAGAAGACATAAAAATGTTATAACAACAGTCGTGGCAATGTTTGATTTCGTGGGAAAAGAAGAAAATGATTTGAGTTTTAAAGCAGGAGACATAATTGAAGTACTTGAGAAAGGAAATGGGCCTAATGATTGGTGGGTGGGTAGATTACGTGGTGTAGTAGGTGAATTTCCTGGTAAGTGGGTTTATCTGTTGGATTATTCTTTACACTGTTAAGAAATATCTGTCTTTTGAGATCAAGTAAACATAAAAAAATATATATGTCAAATGATAATAACTCTATCATTTTGATTTTTTCTTTTTAGGTAACTACGTAAGAGAAGTCAAGACGTAATTTTTATTTGATGGCAAAAATTTTTTTGAAGTAGAAATATTTGTTATATTCAGAAATATTCATCTATTACGGTATCTAATATAGTATTAATTGCAATATCAGAAATTCGGGGGATGAAAATCCATTTGGTGCCTGCGTGCTAATATGTATATTATAATAACAATCTTACTATAGTCTATATTACTATTGATAATTTTTAGTTGCCTGAGCAATAACAATATGTTAATAATAAATTTTTTTACTAGCATGTCTATGTGATAGGTGATTTTTGGTCGAGTCCAAGAATTATCTCGTTTTAATTGACCAATCATAAATTTTTTCCTATAAATTATCACATCCTTTTGCATAAATTTAACTGTGCGTACGTACTTATTTGCGCGTAAAGAAAACGAGTGTTTAAACCTACCTTAGGGAATTGCTGAAATTTTACACGCAATGAGTGATAATTCATTCATATAACATCTAACTTTAACGCTAACGTCCTAATCTACACTCAAGTACGGATTGCAGAATCTACAGTTTTATTTCCAAATATTTAGACTGCCGATAAAATATAGTATAGGTGCATACGTATTTTAAGTCAATTGATTTTTTATTGTCGGGATGATGCTGAAGTTGGGTGATGTTGAAATCGGATGATGCCGAAATTTGGATTCTCGATTTAAAAATATAACCTATTAAATCCATCTATACTCTTTGATTATAAACATTAACCCTAAACTCTAACCTAATTCTAAAAAAAAAAGCCGAAAAAAAAAAATGTTCCAAAAAAATTTTGGAAATTTCATATTAAAAAATAAGTCAAAATTTCAGCATCATTCGATTTCAGCATCACTTCCAATATTTATTAAGATGTCACATATACTATATTTTCTCCAGACCTGTTAGAAACGAAAATATGCATACACTTTAAAATGATAAAACTCTCAACCACATACTATGCCCGAGGCCTATTATGGATGGAATGTAAGAGACCTGAGTCTTTATCCGGAAATTTGCTGTATTTAGTTTATTTTTATGTCAAATTTCCTTTTAAATTGTATCGCTCGCACAACTCTAAATGCAACCCCCTAAATGCAGCATCTCTTTAAAATTCAATTTTATAACTTTGGCCCAAATATGTACTAGACTCCCATAAATGAAACTTTCTTATTGTCCTTCAAATGCAAGTTGTCAAAAATTTGACCCCCATGAATTGTATTTAGGGAGGTCTGACTGCATTTCCCTTGTGTTTCATTCCACCTAATTTTCTGTGACACTACGGTATTGATAATAGTAAAAATTAAATATTTATATACGTATAAGACAAACTTTATGCACATTTCTAATTTTTAGCTTTTTTTGGAGGTTTTTTCTTAAAAAAAGTAATACCTTTTTAATTCTGAATTTTATATGCATATTATCCTACATATACATGTTTTATTTTTTGATTTTTCATGTAAACTCTATCCTTAAAATTTTTATGTCATAACAAACATGAAAATTCATTCTTTTTTACCATCTTATAAGTTCATATTGCTTTTTTTATATACCTCGTTTATAATTGTGTCGAGAAAAAAGGTATTAAGTGAGGACTTATGTCACTTATCGCCAACTAAACCAAAAATACTTGTTGGATATTATCCCGCCTATAAACTTAATTTAAAACCGGGGGTAGATTTTAATATCAGCTCATCAATTGATTACTTAAACTATATTGGTATGCGAAATTAAATATTTAAGTCTATTTATTTCATTACAATTAAGTTTAATAAGTTATTTAATATTTATATACGTAGCATATGGCCAAAATGACCTTGTTAATAATGCCGAAAATAATGATGATGGTGGAGACCCATTAAAATTTTTTAACAAATCCAAATTTTATGAACTGTTCAACTATAAGGCAAATAATAATTTAAAATTTAAGGTAAATAGTATATGTTAAATTTACATTAAAAGTATTATATAGTAACAAAATTGTTATTTTATAGATTATTCTATCCGTCTTGTTACCAACCGATGGGAATAATTTAACTAAATTCTTTAATCAGAATAACGATAAGGCCCCGAATCAAACTTCTACTAAGATCCAGGCTACGACTCAGACTCCAACTCAGAGCCCGATCCTGGACTCGGCTGTGACTCTGGAGGGAATGCTGAGTCGGCGGAGTTGGTATGAATCAAATAGCACACATAACAAGAACTTCATTGAAGACTTGGTTGATATTGTTACTCAATTTAAATTTGATGGAGTAAGATTAACTGATCCATTTTATATTATCTACGTAATTATTTTGGTGTCGCCAAACGAAACCAGTAATTCTTGAATTCGGATTTAACACTTAACAGAATATAGCTTATCAGCTCCGACGGACAATATATAGTTACATCATTTCTTGTATTGAAATCGATGTTTGAATAGATTAGATCTTTTAAAGTTCGGTAAGCCTGTATATTGTGAAGTGAAATATCCGAAAATCAATCCTTGGCGGCACCTATTTATTAAACAATTAATTAATTTACTTTCTATATATTAACTTGTAGATTGATATTGATTTCCCCTTTAAATTTCCGTGCAATCCTTCAACAGGATTCGATGACACTGATTTTTCAAATTTCATAAGTGCCATATCAGCACAATTAGGTAATAAGAATTAACAATTACGGCTGGCCAAGATTCAATGAAAAACTGATTTTTCAAATTTCCTAAATGCCATATCAACACAATTAGGTAATAATAAGACTTTAACAATTACGGCAGGCCAATATCCTATAAAGGGCATCAACTCAAATAACATTAGTTTTATAAATATCCAGGTAATTTTTAACCTTTTTTTCTTTATATAATAAGTGATACCATAAATATTTATTTATCTATAAAATTTTAGGCATTTCATCTTAATATAAATAGCACGCATGCAAGTGCTGGAATAGATCAAATCACGCAAATTTTGAGTTCATGGAATGCTGTAA